CTTTGAGTATGGCCCAGAAACTATGGTTGGCACCAAATGCAATAGACATGGTGTTGGTGGAGAGGACTGCATCAGTGTGGCAGCCATATTATGGCTGTTACATTGGTTGCTAGAGACTTTCTGAGGAAACTTCAAGATGGTTATATTAACTATAAAGCCATATATGGTTTTGGGCCCAGGTTACCTACAGGATCATCCCCAAATGGAATCTGCTGTTGTTGTTCACTAGGCTCAGAAGAGATGTTGTGATCCCTTTGCCCAACGATGTGAAAGAGAGCCACAACCAGACTTTTTCAGGACTAGCCTCATCCCTCTAGAACAGTGTTTCTTAAAGTGTGGTCCCTGTCCCTCAGAGTTCTAAAAGTCCACCAGAGTTTTTGTTTTCTGAATGCAACAAAAAACTGGCTTTTTCAGCAAGCATTTGGGGATTGATTTTTCTTTTCTTTTTTTGCATGAAGCCATTTTAATTGTTTTACACTATGTTTAATGAAGGGTTTTTCATTTATTGTTTTAAGATATTTACTGATGTTGACCACCTGGAATTTATGGAAGAGATCAGGATACAATATTTTGCATAAATAAATCAGTAGCTTTTAGCTACAAACTATTAATGTAGGCCTTCATTGCCACCTAAAGTTACTCCAGGGATTTAGGTGGTATGCAAATAAATAAATAAATGTCTTAAAATTGAGGATGGTGTTTTGTTTCCATCATATGGAATATTTTAAGCTATTTTTTTAAATATATAGGCTTTAATCATTCTTAATAATTTAAACTCAGCTATTTAGCAGAAGGTAGAAAAATATTGAATGGCTCATGAATTCCCAACACTGTTCTACACGTGCATATTGGAAACATACATTTCATTCTACTGAAAGAGACTTTCAAATGAATGTATTTATGATCACAGTTGCAGGCACACAAGACATTTGAGAAACTTCTGATTTCAAGCCTGAATGGCAATACTGCTATACTTTTATAATTCAAAACCCATAAATGTTTTATCCTAAAATCCTATTTCTTTCTTTTTTTTAATTACTCATAACTTTTCATAGCCTTAATCAAAATAGCTCTTTTTAATGATTGGATTAATTATTTCTGTGACTAAGGAGTATAAACCTGCCCCAGACTGGTGTCCTCTAGGTGTTTTAGAATCAATTCTCACTGATCTCAGACATTGTAGCCAATGATAAGAGAATGTACTCCAAAACATTTGGAATGTATCGTAATATCCATTTGTGGTCTACTGTTGCTGTAAATGATAATTGGTGTCTTCATATTTTTATCTGCTGGGACATTTAAGAAAGCAATCCGTAATTAAGATTTCAAGTTGTATTGCTTTGAACCAGATGTTGACTTTAGTCTGTGCAAATAAACAGAGCATATTACAAACACCATTCTGTGCTACAGATGATAAACAGACCTTTAGGGATGACTAATGGGATTATAAAGTGAACAAATTGTGGGCTATCTTGCATTATAAGAACAAAGGTAAAGATCATGTTAATGAAATTTGGAAGACCCATCACAATGGCTTCCCTACCATTATCCAAATCATGCCTCCACCCCCATAAAACATTAGCTAATCCTGGCAGGTTCCCTTTAATCCACAGAGTTTTTTAAGATATCATATTCTCTGTTTAGGTATTGTCTGCTAATGGTTAATCTCACCTTCATTTGTCTCTTCCAAATTCTAGTCATCCTCTAATCAAATCCTATTCTCTTCCTGAATTTTTCTATTGCTTTATTGCTTTTTTAAATTTTATTTTATTTAGGGCATGTTTGTAGCAGGAAGTGTGTCAATTTTGTTTGAAACTATATTGCTGTCAGTGTAATCAGTGCAAAAACCAGGTTTCTGGGCTGGTGTCATAAAGCGCAGGAAACTATTTAACAGCACAGCTGTTTAATCTGAACTATTTAAGGAAATCATCCCAAATCATTGCTTATATGACTATATTCGATATTTACTTTAATTTTAACCTTACCAGAGTAATAGTTCATGTTTTTTCAAGGAACCTTCTAAGTCCCTAATAAGAAATATTCAAACTTAACATTGCACTTAATTTCAGGCCAGGATGATGACGATGGTGATAAAGTTTCTCAAATCCTATTCTCTTTTTGTCCTGCCTACAATTTATACTCTCCTCGCACCATTTTTCTTCCCTCCTAATCTGTGATCTTTGGATCGCAGGCCCTGATAGGTGTACTTCCTTCCATGGGTCAGTAGATACTAAAACTATAGTCTTCTGTGTTTTGTTCAAATGGCCCACTTTGTTTAGCAAAGTTACTCTCTAGTCATTGTACTTAAGGTTGTGGCTGTGAAGACTCTGCTATGTATTTGCAGCAGGAATTGTCTAATCTCATTCTTTCTCCACCTAAACCTGTTTTGGAAGGCCAGACTAACATTCTCCCTGGTGTTTCTTACTAAATCAGCCACTCAAGATCTTCTGAGTTCAGAAGGGATTTATAATTTTTAATTGAATGTGATACCACTTTTGTTTTTTTATAGTATTTGCTTATTCTGACTACATTTTCTTTTTCTTTTAATTTTAATGTTGTATTAGTTTTAATCATTGTCTGCTCTGAGTAGTGATTATATCATTTTTATTATTATAAAATTTCCAGCAGATGAACAATATCGTATAATTAACTGTTTTCTGCTCTGTCTGTATTTCCTTCTTTTCATAAATAGACAGCTCTGTTTCTCTGCTAAGCTTTGCTGCTGTTTGAGAACAAAATCAGAAAACACAAGTAGTAAAAGGATAGGATTGCACAACAGAATTAACTAGAGTTTCTGAAAAACCTTAAACATAAAGCAGTGTAACTTTAAGAGAGTGAGATGGGCAACTTGGTTTAAGGTAATGTCCAACAGAACTCATGCCTTGTGATTTTAAGTTTAATGGATTCAAATGGGTACGAAGAGGCTTAGTATATGTGTTGCATTATATTAGTTACTTCTAAATTAGTTACTTCTAACATAAAATGTGCTCTTGTGCCTTATTGATTCTCCAGGTAAACTGAAACTTCATTTTGGGGTTTCTGCATTTCAGACTACAAAATTAGTCTTCAAGTTTACTTCACTGCCATACTAAAGAAGAAATTTAGAGGATTGCAAAAGTGATTGCTGTGAATATAGCTGTTCTTCTGATTAATCCTCAAACTTTCCTCTCTTACTGTTTCTTTATTATGTCCTCCTTTTGAACCATCTAGTGGAGTGAAAAGAGGGTTTGTCCTGGAACTGAGGTTTGTTGGTTTAAATGCCAGATAGCTTATCAGCTTATTGGCAACTGTGGGCAGGGGGCTGTATTTTTGCATCAGTTGCCCAAGCTGAAATAATTATACCCTGTCTGGTAATACATTTAGGACCTCCCCATGTTCCCAGAATCATCAATTTCATAAGATAAAAATTGTAAACCACTGAATATTAGCATTTAATGTGATTTTTATCAAGATCAGTATATATAACATATAAAGCACCTTATCCTTAAAGTGATGCCTTATTGGCTGAGAACACCAAGATATTAAGCAGTACACTTTTGACTGCATAACCAATTCATTCAATGAGGCTGGAGGAGGGAGCCCATTGATAATCACTTTTCTCTTAGTCCCTGTAGTTTTCCTGGCAAGATTTTCAGATGTGGCTTGCCCTTGCCTTCTTCTTCTTCCAAGGGCTGAGAGAGAGGGACTGGCCCAAGGCTACCCAGCTGGTTTCATGCCTAAGGCGTGACTAGAACTCCAGGTCTCCCCGTTTCTAGCCTGGTGCCTTAACTATTACACCAAACTGGCTCATAGAAAAAATGCTTGTCCATAAAATTTCCATACTCATTAACAAAGGCCCAGCTCAGGAATCCAGTCCGTTGGAAGATAGATCCGCTTAGCTATCATAGAATAATATCTGTATGTTTACATAGCTGAAGTGTAATAGATTGAAAAACTGTAGAAATAATTTCAGAAATATTGCAGAAATATAAAAAAGAAATGATAGACAATATCACTAAAAATGGAACATGAAACCAGCAAGAATGAGAACGTTTATACAAAGATGAATACAAAATATGAAAAAGGTACAAACTATTTTAAGATCTGAAGGAATTTGAAATAAAATCACATTATTGGGTTAAATTGATCATTATCCTGGTAGTTCAACCTATTGAAATATATGCAACTCTGATATTGGCCACTGTTTAGCTTTGCTTTAACCAGTGATGAATTTAATTTGTGTAGACCTGTCCTTTCCACAATATTTTTAAAGCAGATTTTGAAAACATTTTGGCATAAGGAAGACATGAAGGTATATTTGTTCATTTTTTTTTAAGCACAAAATGTTCACTTCAGTACTTCTGCTAACCATCTAAGACATCCCATCGAAAACCTATTGCACAGAAGGGCAGTTTATGCAAGACAGTGTTACATTTTTATCCATATCAAGAGCTGTAGGAATTAATGCTATGACTCATACGCAGCAGTGAAACGTCACCACTGGTGAATCAAATCCTTCCTGCCTGCAAAACTTTGAAGAGCCCCTTTGGAGCAGGCCTTCAAAAAACCCCAGACCAGGGACAATTTTCCCATTGTGGAGGAGTTTCAAAAAGTAAAGCAGGTGCTTAAACCTCATAATATCTCTGTTTCTTTTTCAGTTCCTTCAAACTTTGTGTTCATCATAAATTCCACATTTTACAGAACATTCATCTTTATTTTGCAATGCGCCTTTTATCCTGTAGGACAAAGTGGGTTTTTTAAAAGTCATATATCCTCTTTTGCCTAAGATGGTTTAAGCATGTAGACATTTCCAGAGGGAAATGTAGAAACCATAAATCTGGGAACTCCTCACTGAGTGGATCCCAAACTTCCTGGACTGCACTGCATAGCCAACCTAGCTTTTCTTCTGTGCTAGGGGTAGAATGACAATAGGTTAGTGTTGTTTACCTGTAAAAGTTACGTATCACAATTCGTTTTCTGTAATGACCTATTTTATTGTTGCCGTTTGCTTTATTGTACAGCAGACAAGAATATTTCAAGCATGACCACCAGACCCACTCGTGGCAAAATGGAATGGATCATTCCTCTCATTGTGGTCTCAGCCTTGACATTTGTGTGCCTCATCCTTCTTATTGCTGTGCTAGTTTACTGGAGGTGAGCCTTTCTAAATAACCTAAACTGTATGATGGTAAATTGTTTTGTGTCTTTATTACACTTTTGTCATGAGAAAAAAACATTGTCAATCAGCTAGGAATTTCCAGCTCAACAATTTTATGTCATGAAAATGATGCATGAGAAGAGTGTCCTTTGTTTGTAGAGGAATCCAATATCAAGTAATTGAAGAAATTCTGAGGAAGTTCTCCACTACCTGAGACCATGGAGCAATGATTCCAAATCTTGGCACCCTGGATCAGTTAGGCTTCAGGTTCCACCATTCCTGGATAATAGTTGGGGAATTACTTGGGTGCAACAGCATGTGAGAACATAAAGATGGAGAAAAATCCATTTTTAAGGCTGCCTCTAATTGAGATTAGAGCTGGTCCAAGGTATCTTACTCTGTAATAGCACTTCTGATGAATTGTGTTTGCTTTCATTTCATAAAATGACATTATCTACAGCAACAATCCTATGTGGTTTATTCCAGAATAAATCCAAGGCAAGATAGCTTTTTAGTTATTTGTAATTGATCCACATACATATCACCAAACAGTGCAAGAAGTTTTGACTGTATGATTACTTTGGTAATCATTGGTAAAAAATAGAGCATGGACGTTTAAAAATATATAGAGTAGAATCTAATGCACCACCACCTCCTTAGAGAGATTATTTCCATGAGCAGAAATAGCAGGGTGATCCCCCATGGCCCTAAAATACAAATGCATCATCTGCAGGCTTGATACAGCCCTCTATGCCTTTTATGCAGCTCCCCATTTCCTCCTCAGCTACCATGGATTTTCATTAAGTTGGCTAAAACTAAATGTGATGATTTTAAGACTGGAGAAAGTGGGAGAAGTTATTTAGGACAGGGGGAGAAATAAACTTAATGAAAAACAATGTAGCTGAATGTTAAGGAAAATGTTGATTAGGGTTTGGGGTTTCTGCTTTGTTTCTGCTTCGATCGCATCATTTCTCTCTCTGCTCCTCACACATACCTGACACAGTCCATAAGATAAAGATATGAATCCAAACATTCCAAAAAAAATTGCATCCATGTGCTGAGTCACGGTCAGAAATACAAGAACAAGCCTCTGTGGGCCTTATTTTGTATCTTCTCCTCTCCTCTGGTGCAGCCATTTCATTTAACGGCAGTTTGCCACGATAGTCGGACATCCAACCAATGTTATGTATCTTGACTAATATCTATTGAAAGTATTCTTAGTCTAAAAATAGAAGCAAAAGCTTCTGATCTCATGATCTCTCCAGAAGAGATGGGAAGAAGAGTGTATGAGCTCAAAGCTTGCAGCACTTCCTTCCTGTAACTCTCACCCGTGCTTAAATATCGTGCCTGAACAGTCATTGATATTTGGTTGATGCACAGAAGCACAGAGGACAGTTGGCAGCCACCCCCAGGCACTCAGAGGTAAATGGTAAGTGTACAAGAATCCATTCTAACAAAGATCGGTGGTGCTTGACATTGACATTCATATTTTTGATTACATCGGGCTGTGCTTTATATAATGTGCCTGATTTTTCTTTGGTTTCCTTTTCATCCTTGGGAAAAATCAGTAGTAAGTATCTACTTTAAATGGCAGGTTAGGGTTCTGTAGTTTTATCGTTGATGTGAGCTGCTCAGAGTTGCACTTTAAGATGGGCGGCCATGCAAATCTTTTAAATGAATAAATATTTATTTATTTTAGTTATTTTAGTCCTTGAGTTAGGACAACAGAGACAGAAATGTAACATGCTTATAAAAGGCAACATGTGAAATGATGGTGAGTTAGGTGAGCATTTTGCCTCAAGGAAGGAAACATGTCATCAAGAGGAACAGCATCCAAAAACTGTACATCTTATTTGTTTCAGCCAGTGAGACAAATATATTTTTCTAGAACAGGAATAGAAAACCTGTATTTCTGCTGCTCTGCACTTCAGTTCCCAGCATCTTGTGAGTCATGGTGACTGGGATTGCTGGAACATCGGCCACTTTGGGGGACAGAAGAGTTAAGCCACCTGTTATTTTTCTCGTCTTCTCCTGCCCCCCAACATACTTACATGTTGTGATAAGGAAGGAAATAGGATGACCACAATGGGAGTTTTAAAAATCCTAGGAGACATAGATTCCCATTCAGCAGCATATTCTAAAGAAAAGCTAACTTGTTATTTTTCATTTAATATATTTTAGAGCATTTAAGATACTAGATGACTAGATTACAGTAATCATGGAATGAAACATGAGTAGGTGATATCTGTTTTCAGATAAAGTAAAATTTTGATTTAACACACCATTCAGATGGAGAAGATGTTGGCAAATCTGAATTTGCATTATTTGCATCGCTTTATGTCAATGTATGATTACATAATTGAAGTAGATGATGTCATTTGCCATAAAGCCTCAAATTTTATAGACAAATGCTTGATTAAGGGACTTAAAGGGAGGTGACATACAAATGATAAAAACTGTATTGTATAAACTGATGTCTGCTAAACCAAGGTTATGCTGTATTTGAGAACTGGTTTCATCAGTTCATCTGCCATTCCTCACTCAGAGACTAGACTTTGAAGCAGTTTATATTTGGTTCCAAAGGATCTGTTGAGACATGAAGAGACAGGATCTGTGCACTCCTTTTGCCACCACAACTGCTAGTAACTTTACCACGTGTGACAGGAACCTGTGGAAGATTGTGCATGAAAGACATTCTCCTCCCCATCATAACTGTAAACAAGAACAGTCCTTGGGGTGGATATAACTGGGAGATAAATGTAGATGCATTATTATTCTCATCATTGTCACTATCATCATTGACATCTGTCCAATAGCCAGTTATCTGGGTGGATTCTAAATTCACTTAAACCACTCCATTTTTTTAAAGGGAAATAAAAGCTGTGTAATCATCAAATCAGTAGCACGTGATTAATAAATAAATGTCCGTATGGCCCCCAATCCGAGCCCCAGTAGAATCTGTTGTTCTTAGGGATTATAATGTTGTGTCCCAAGTATCTCCAGTATTGCTGATGATTCCCAACTTATCTGAAAACATTCTGTAGCCAAAACTAACATATTGTTTGATGGCCAGTGAAATGAAAAACAGCAATCAATCTATCTAGTTTTCATAAAAATTACAAAGAGAGCCAGGTGGCCTGAAATGCCTCTCCCATAACAGGGCATCTCCTGCTTTTTCTTTTCTTTTTTCTTTTCTTTTCTTTTCTTTTCTTTTTTCTTTTCTTTTC